TTATCATGTGATGTCTCTTCAACACCCCCACTCTCCCTCTCCCACCCAATCCAACAACCACCACCATTACGCCTCTGCCAATTTATTTTGGCACCATCTCTCTAGCAAATCCCCCTGCCCCCACCCCCTACCCCCACCCCCAACAACAATCACCGTCCGCAAATTATACCACAGACCAATTGTTTCGCTTCCACCATCATAACCCAATCTCGGTGAATTTCAAGATTTATTACATTAAGAAGAATTGAACCATATGGGAAAGAAACAAAACCTAAAAAAATGAAACCACCACCAAACTTAAATTGTTTGGAACCCAACCACCACCATGAATAATATTCTGGTTTTCTATGGGGAGATCAGTTCCAGTATTTTTTATTTTTTCTTTTTTCTTTTTTTTTTCTTTTTTTTGTAGGTTTGTTTGTTTAAATCGTATTTCTACTGCGTTAGTGGTTTCGATATTTATATAGTTGTGTATATAGAGTGGTTTTCATGTTTATACAGTTGTTTGTACATAGTGGTTTTCATGTTTATATAGTTGTTTGTACAGAGTGGTTTTATAGTTGTGTATACATAGTGGTTTTCATGTTTATATAGCTGTTTTTATACAGAGTGATTTTCATGTGTATATAGTTGTTTATACAGAGTAATTTTATATTTATATAGTTGTGTATACATAGTGGTTTTTATATTTATATAGCTATTTTTATACTGAGTGGTTTTCATGTTTATATAGCTGTTTATACAGTGTGGTTTTCATTTTTATATAGAGTGATTTTTATTTAAATAAACCGGAAAGAAAAGAAAAAAAAACCATTTTTTAAAAAAAATCAAAATTAAGAAAAAAGAAAAATAATGAAAAAAATGAAAATAAAAATAAAATCATTTTTTAAAATTAAAATAAAAAACATGAAAAATATAAATAAGAAAAAAATAATTTAAAATAAAAAACCGAAAAAAAAATTAATTACAATTTTTTTTACATAGAAATAAAGAAAATCATTAAACAAAATAAAAAAAAAGGAAAAGAAAACTAAATTGGCGTAATTAGGGGAATAATTTTTGGAGAAGATTTGGGTGTAGATTATGGGTATAATTGTTTTTTAAATTAAATAATTATACTAATTATTAATTAGTGGGGGCATATATGGTTTTTCAGACCAATTGAATTTATGTCAAATATCATTTATAAATAAAGGATTTATCTTGAATTAAAATCTCCACAAAGGGTGTTTGGCATATAGCCCCTAAAAAAAATTAAGAAATTAGTAAAAAAAATATATATATTATTTATAGTACAAATTCATACTCTAAAAACGACACCACCGCCGTGCCACCGTCTATCGTGAACTGCAAATAGCAAACTGACGCCTATGACTTTGTGAACTGCAAATAGCAAATGACCACCGCCGTGCCACCGTCTATCGTGAACTACAAATAGCAAACTGACGCCTATGACTCTCTGAACTGCAAATAGCAAATGACGCCTATGACTTCGTGAACTGCAAATAGCAAACTTAATATTATAATTTGTATTATTGAATTGCAAACAAAAAAATACCAATGATTCAGCCGCAAAACAACAAACTGGAAAAAAAAATAATCCATATTTTGCATTATTGAGTTGCAAAAAAAATATTACCTATGACTTCTCCAAATACAAACATCAAACGGAGAAAAAAATTCAAAACGAGAAACAATATGTAACATGAATTGCAAAATGCAAATTAAAAACAACGAAAAAAAATCGAGGTACTCACCCAAATCCCTTGCCGCCAGTCCTTACTCCATCAAAAACCCTATGGCCGCCCCGGTGAAAAGGTGCATCAAAATCTCGTAGATCAATTCCCGTAGAAACACCACCCAAGATCGATGCGAGAATCTCCTGAATTGCCTTACAACGTAATAACTGGAGAAGTAGAAATTAAATACAAACAACAAACAAGGTCTCCAAAATAGCAAACGATTTTCCCAAACAAAGAACAACAAAATGTCCCACAACCAAAACAACAAACGAAAAATATTTTGTTATAGTTTGTTGAAGGTTCTAGCTATGGCAGGATTCAAAAAGGAAGAAAAGATATCGGAATCGAGAAAGGGAAGAAAGTAAGAAATTGATCAGAATTTCATTTCGAAAAGATGCTTATTGGAAAAAAAAATTAAAACAGAAAAGAAGAGTCGGAAAAAAGAAAAGAAAAGAAAGAGAGACGATGGAGAGCGAGATACGAGATAGAGAGGAAGAGAGAGATGAGAGATTATATAGAGAGAGATATACGTGAGATTGGAGAGAAAGGGAGAGTGATATATGGGATTTACTTTGTTTTTAATTAAGGGTGTTTTATGTAAATGTACTAATTATTTTATTTTATTTATATTATTTTATTTTGTCAAAGGACCTCGACCTATACTCATCTAACAATTAGGATCCCCACCTATATAAGTCCAGAATAAGGGGTGTCTAGCCAATTTCCCCTTTATATATATATGGACAAATTACGGTCACCCCTCAGTTATAGTCAAATTACGAAACTTTGGTTCTGTTAGGTAATTACATCCATCCCTTTAACTATGGATCATCTTACACAAATACCCCTCTAGAGGTACATTTAGGGATATCAAATCGGTAAAACTGAACCGAAATTTGTACGCCAACATTTCATACCGTTTACCGAACTGGATATACAATTTGGTTCGGTAAATAAACAAATTATATAATTATATGTAAAAAAATTTAAAAGAAGGGGTTGCTGAAATTACCCAAACAAAAGGAGTTTTTTTACTAATTTGACCATACCTCAGGGGTGGCCGTAATTTGCCATTTACATATTTATAAATTTGGATTTCTAAAGTTTAATTGTAATTTTCAAAATCTCGACTTCCATTTTTTCCATTTGTTTTACGTAGTTGGGATTAATTAGTTTTTCACCTCCCAAAAAAAAAATTGCTTTTCGAAAGTGTGTCAAATTTGATTAAAGTCTCGAGAGAATTGGAGTAGTGAAAATCACGTACACCTTGTAAAAAACAAGGTGGATGAATTATTTATAATTAAATTAGCAGCCTTCTTATTTGACGGTGCGAGATTTGCACTTTCAAGACCTCCTTCTAAATTTAACTCCTTCGTTCGTTGGAGAGTACGTCCGGTGATGGTATTTGGCCCCTTTGCTAAAAAAGAAAGGGGACACAAATTCCAGCCCCCCCTCCCCTCTCTCTCTCCAGAATTCCAGCCCGTTTGCAAAAGAAGGAAAATCAAAAAAAATTGCTTTCTCCATCGAAACCCGGCGGAAGACGAAGGCACTTCACATTGAAGAATTGGCAGATGAGAATTGGAAGAATTGTCCGTCCCTTCTCCGTTTCTTCGGATCTGAATTAAAAATATTTTGAAGTAATTGTTTGAGGTGGGGCGGCGGGTGTGTTGGCAGTGGTGGTGCGACGGTGAAGGGCTGGATGGAAGAATTGGATTGGGGAAGGAAGATGATGCCATGAGTTGATGGCCATGTGCGTGATAAATTTTTTGTTCTTTTTTCTTTCTTTTTTTCCATTTTTTTAATTATTTTATTTTATGCATTTTATTTATTTAAAATTTAAATATTATTAAAAATTATCAGGGTTAGTTTAGTAATTTCATATAACTTAGCAGGCAATTTCAGAAAAAGGGGCGATGTTCTTTATCAAACAAAACATCGAGGTTCTTTGCTAATTTTTATAACATGAGAACTTTTTTGGCTATTCAAGATTACACAAGCGTTATGTGCAATTAGCTCTAAATAACACATATAGTGGCCCTAATTATGTTAGTTCCATGAAATGGCAATTGTCGGAAATCGAGGTTTCCAAACTGCGCAGTGATTCTGGCCATGTTAGAACCAACATAAAAGACTTCAAATTGTGGCTGTGGATGCAATTACAATACTTGTGGGATTCTTTTGTTTTCAAAAGCAATAAAAAAATAAAAGTAAAAGGAAGAGAGAAAAACAAGTTCTTTGTTAAAACCTTTGTGAGCTGAATTTCTTCGACTTGCGGTTTACTGGAGTTGCATATTGTAGGAAAAGGATGGGAACCGTTGAGGGAGAGAAGTTAACCAATATATATTAAGTATATATATATGTTGATAACCCCCAATTCTCGCCCCCCTATTTTTCTACGTTTTATTTTTGGCCTCTTTTAATCTGAAACGGCGCCGCTTCGTTTCAATCCACCAATCAGCGGTGAACTTTTCTTTTCTTTTTTCCTTTTTCTTCCAGAAAAATGGTCCGATCGACCTGCTTCTTCTTTTTCCTTAAATTTTTTTCCCCCTTTTCTCTTCTTTCCCTTTTGCCGCCGCAAATGTTGACCGCCGCTCCGCCCCTCTTCTTCTCACTCAGAGCCCTGCCTTTTTCTTCCTCCATTTCGATTTCCTTTGCCGACCAATTCTCACAGCAGGTTTTCCTTTTGTTCCACACAGCCATGGGAGAGGGAGGCCTGCTATCGTTGACTCCCGCCCACTTCCACGCCCGCCGCCGCCGCCTCCTCGTTCGCCGCCCCGTGTTCACCGCCCGCCACCGCTGCCGCTAGAGTCGCTTCCCACCACGTCTTTCACCCACCTGAACCGGGCCGCGCCTCCTCCTCCAAATCCTTAAATTGCGACCACTCCTTTCGGATCCGTCCACCATCTCAAGAATTCCGAGCTGCCCACCTCCCCCTTTCCCTCCCCCCCCCC